ATTTTTGGAAAACTGGCCTGGTGTAGGGTGTAGTCAATCACGGACGCCCAGCACGAATGATTCCATTCTGGTTTGTCTCGGTCCACCGAGGCCTAGTACAGAAGGCCGGCCCAATAAAACTGCATAGCAATTCTACCCAGTGTGCTTTTGTTCTTTTTACAAAGGGAAAAACCTCTACTAGTTTCTAAAGTCTTTCCAAACTGGTTCTTTGGGGGCACGTATTCTGCAATCTTTGTACCCACGAGCCTGGCTTTTGAATTCTGTCATCACAAACTGTCTCACACACGGGCAACCCCAAGTCAGCCCAATCTCTTGATTGCTTTAATGAATAACGGAGATGAAAAATTCCAGAGTCCTCAGAATCATCCAGGCTAGGCGTCTCCCTCTACTGATCCGGACTTTGCCGCTATTTGCATTTGCGCCTCATTGCCTATGAATTGGCATTTGCACTCCTGGCTTTTACTACACTTCAAAGATAGGAAATGACCTTTCTGCAGCAGAATTCGGACTTCACCTTCAACAGCAGGGAAGCAGGGAGCCATTGGATAGACAGCAGGAGTCCTGTCTGGAGAGCCTGAGCTACAGCTCTCCAAGCTTGCATTTTGCCACTTGGGTGCTCTGAGGCTTAATGTGTGATGTTCCATGGGCGACAGAAACTTCAACCCCAGGTGCTGCCAGGCATTCGCAATTCTACCAGGCTCATCGTTTTGGACAAGCAGGGGCCTACCCTGGAGCCCTGTGGGAAGCTCTCCTCTTCCCACTGCCGTGAACTGTGTGCTGTGTTGGCAACGGGCTACGTCTTGCTCACCGCCCTTTCCCTAGGGGAAAGTTTAGTGGGCACTTACTTAATGTGGGCAAGAGACCGGGGCCCAGAGCAAGCTGTCTTTAAAGAATCTCAGAGTTTACTGTTTACTCGCAAATCATGCCATCCCATCTCCCCATTTTGGGGAGAGAGGCTAAATAAAATTCTCCAAACCTCTATCTGGCGCCTAGACAGTCCTTGCTTCTCTTTCAGGATTTGTTTGAACTCGGATCTATCTCCCACAGCCAATTTACACCTCTTATCTGATCATCCAGTCCAGACGGAAGGTTGAATTGACCGACTCAGCCCGTGTCCATGGCAATGGTGTTAAAACTCAGCACAGATCAAAGCTCTCCTGGCAAGGGAGGAAGGGGGAGATGGTTACGGGGGTCCGGGTTCTTTTGGCCCTGAGCGGTGCGTCCGGAAGGTAGGGACATTAGGGCTGGAAGTAGTCACCATCTGAAGAACCTACTGTCCGACCCCCGTGATTTCCTGAGCACACCCCCTCCCGGTGGATCCCAGTTATTTAGCGAAGGAGAGTTTTGGCCTGGCGCTGCCTGGGAAAGGCTAGCGCCAGGGGGCTCTCTCTGTCTAAAACAGAAAGCAAGGAGGAGGAGGGAAGGAGCCAAGCAGCGATCACACGCCGACACACCAGAGCGTCGAGCCCCTACCCGTACTGAATTCAGCCGCAGCCGCAGCCGCAGAAGCTGCGGCACAGATGGGCGGGATCCCCTAAACTTGGCCTGGAAAGCGGATTCCCCCCACCCCCCACCCAGGATTATTCCCAGAGGGGAAACGATCCATTCCGATCCCGCTTCCACAACAAGACTTTAGCTCTCCCGGGCCCCCCACCCAGTTTCCGGGCGCCTGGGACCCGAGGGGAAAGACTAGGGCGCAGTCACCCGAGGCCAAAGATGGTTGGGTGGGGACAGCCGCTTAATCACAGTACGCCTCGCCTCCTCTAACTTGTGTTGATATTCAGAAATCAATCAGTGAAAATGAGGCAAGGGCCGTGAATGATGTGTTTCTTTCTCTAGCGTAGAAAAGCAAGGCGGGGTGGTGGCGGCGGGGACTGCCTTGCCGCCTACCGCAGAGCCGCAGCCGAGCAGAACTTCCCCGCCTCGAACAGCTCTGAGGAAACGCCGCAGGCTTCTCCCTGGGGGTGTCCTCAGTCGGGAGGAGGAGGGGGCAGGCCAACTTGGCGGAGGCTCTAGCCTTGGTTTTGCTTTCGCTGGGAATATTTTTGCCTAATAGAATGTTTATGGATTGCTCAGCTCTGTTTCTGCCGCGTAGCCCAAACAAATCGATGCGGCGTTAGAGACAGCGCGGTGGTAGTGGTGGTGGGGGGAGGCCGGGGCCCAGCGTCCCCACCACGTGGAGGCCTCGCCGCGTGCTCTTCACCTGTTCCGGCGCGCGCGGGCGCTCGGTGCGCACAGCTTCCCAAGCCAGAGCAAGTTGCGCGCGTTCCTGAGGCGCAGGCCGGCTCCTTCCCAACTCTCTCCGCCCTCAGCTCCGAAATCCCACCCCGGCTTCCGGCCACCCAGCTCGGCTGGCGCTGAGCTTTTCGGCCGTCTTCCCCAGCCCC